TGGTTCTCCACCAGCCTTGAGTGTGGATTTTTCAATCGAACAATCTTTGTCTGTTTTCAGCAGATTCATCATGCGGGACCATCGAGGGTGGAGAGGAGGATAACTCCAGTTCCTTCGGCCTTAATGACCGCTTCATTATAGCAAAGAACATAATGACGGTTTTGTGCATAGTCACTTTTTAAACCCTCAGTAAGCTCCACCCCCAGAGAGGGTGTGGCCTAGTTCTGCTTTCCTGATTTGTCTCCCAGTCTTATTTTGATAGGATGAAAGACTTGCTTATTTTGCAGCCACGCCCACTATGGAATCAGCAACAGACCCCAGGTGACTCAGAATGCTGTGTAATGAGTATGGTGGGCAAGGCCACGCCTCCCCACTGCTGTCCAAGTCACACTAAAGTGCTGACAGATTACAAGGGGGATCCAGGACCTAGAGAATGCCGCCTTTTACAGGCCAGACCTTTCTGTCTTTAAAACCAGCTGCTGTCAGAATCAGCCTCTGGGTTTCTCTTTCCGACTGCTGCCACCGGGCCCTTCTGTGCCACTCTACTCATTAGCTTGCAGGGTTATACTTACTCTGTAATATTTACTCATTAATACTTACTCTGTGCTAATCCAATAAGTGGCAGCCCGGACACAGAACCAAGATCAAACAGCACCGGTGGGTTTATCATGGCAAAAGATGCAGTGTGGAATATTTACTGCCATAAATGTGATTTCTGCGCCAGCCAAGGCCCCAGGGCCACTAAATGCAATCCTCCTCATACCTGGCAGTAAGAGGCTCCGGGTCGGTGCCAGATCGCTGCATAATCTGTAAATCACAGATCTAAAGTGTCCCAGAGCTGTCGACATTCTCCACATAAGACTTCCAGCCTAGCCCAACCAGAGGCTGCATCAATCAAGGCAGACCCCCCCCCCCCCAAATGAGGGATTACTGCTGTTTTTTGGGGGGTGGGGGTGTTTATCTGAAAGCCGTGTGTGATCTGCTATTACCAAAGGAGATATCGAGCTCACAGAAGGTTGGCAAATCTGCATGAAGCAAGTCGTTAGCTTGCCGAGTGCCTCTCCCCCAGCCACTTAAACATCCACCCCCCCATACTGGTTCAGCCTCTCCCCATTATATGTTTCCCTGCTCACCCCTGTGCCATAAATTGCAAATGGAGCATCTGCTGAGAAAGAAACATAGAGAGAGAGAGAGAGAGAGAGAGAGAGAGAGAGAGAGAGAGAGAGAGCAAAACCATAGGCGAAGGAAACTGAAGATGAAGGGGACGGCAAACAGGGGGCTTCTCAGTGGATGCAGACGTGCAGAACAAGCCACAAGGGCCCCCACAACTACGCCAGCCTGTCGCTGCTGCAGGAACTTACTGGCACTGAACTGAAACCCTCAGAGTACCAGGAAACGAAGGAGCCCAGCTGCCTTTAATCTGACCGGGTACAGCAAACAGGAAGCTGTTCTCATCCACGGTGACGATGATAGCTAACACCGCAAATACCACATCACAAATACCACGTCACAAATACCTCAGAAATGATGGGCAAAATAACCAGTGGTAACAAAGAAATTCATATTTTAAGCTAAAAGCTGAATAAATATTCTTTTAGTATCTAGGAGGAAGCCTTCCTCAGCCCCAGTAGTGTCTCAGAAAATGACCTCGCCTGCCTTAATTACACACACACACACACACACACGCACACGCATGTAGGGTAAACATATCGTTATGGGGACCGCTCATTCATTTCAATGGGAAAAATGCTAACGCTAACTATGACAACCTTAATCCCTACCCTGCCCTAACCATTACCATAAGTAACCTAACAAAATACAAGAGTTTTTGCATTTTTAGTTTTTTCATAGCAGTCACCGATTTTTATAAAATAGAGTTTTCCCTTATGGGGACCAGGAAACCGGTCCCCTTAAGGGAAAAAACGGATATTTATCACGTTATGGGGACATTGTGTGTCCCCATAAGGATAGGTAAACCCGCTCGCACACACACACACACACACACACACACACACAAAGACACTGTGCCCTAAAGACCCCAAGGCAGTTGTGCATCCCGCCAGCCAGTGTCCACTGTGGGAACTAAAGCCGACCGATTCCTTTATTACCTCCAGCTCCTGATAAGCGGAAGCGGGTAAATTCGTCCCCCGACGCGATCGGTCGAGCCCTCCCCGAATGCGGCGTGGCGCAGGAGCATCTCCTGTGAGCCTCACTGCAATTAAAGATGGGATCTGGAGGAAAACCTGCCCCACTGGCGTTGGGATTACAGAACATTACCTGCGAAATACGAGCGGTCCACTTTCACAAGCAGCATGAACTTCAGATTACCCGGCGAGGCTGCCTAAGACTCGGTCGCTTTCTCCTCTTATGTAAATGTTCAGGAAACTCATACCTAATCACACACTTTAATCATTGATAATGTGCATGTTTGTTATCCAAAGCATAATTTATCTCATATTTTGTAGCTCCCCTACCAAGCCGGTCGGTTGCACACAGAAATGATTCACATTAGACCAGAAAATTGATTCTCCTGCCTTGACCGTAATCGACAGCTTATGATCTTCGCTGATCTCGTGATTTATTCTCATCTTCAGTACTGCAGCATGTGTTTGCTCATGTATGAACAGCGATTTTGAAACCAAAGTGAAAAACAATCAGACGCTGAAATATTATGATACACATCACTCTCGTTAATCTTCATAAAACATTGAATGATAGTCTTATTATGCTGGTAGGACTGTCTACAGTAACGTGGGGCGCGGTGTGGAATTAACAACGCGTGTAATACAGAAGGAAAAACGGACGGCTTTTAGTGTCACGTTTAAAAATAATTCATATAAGTAGGAGGGATCATTTTAAAATGCATTTCACAAAAGTTACCCAATCCCGAAGCAAAGGGGACTGGCAACTTCCAAACTTTTTATTCTTAACATTATTTTATTGGTTATGTAAAATCTTCGTTTGGAAGACCAAAAAAAAATGCGTTTACTGCATTGCACCTGTCCACACGGTACCCGCACAGGTGATCTTTACACGGCATATAGACGTCCCACTATATCAAACAACTAAATAGTCCTTTCGTTATTTTTGTTGAAGATGCATAAAACAGTAGCGTAGTCAAGGTTGGATTAACATTATGTCATTACAACATTAGACACAGTAATACTAATGATTAATTCAAAAGTAATGATAGGAGCAATTTACAAAAGGGTACCAAATCCCGACTGCAATTAAATTCGGCGTGTGTATCCCCACGGCTCATGCTGGCTGTACCTCAGCACTCAGCACGGAATATTTCGATATCGCACGCAAAACGTAGATATTGTTTCATTGAAAATGATGACATGAAAAATCTTACCTGCCCCTGCGAAACTCCGCAAACTGCCAGCGTGTGTGAAATGCGGCTTTTCCTCCTCGCTGTCACACTACGCGAACGGCACGTCCCCTCCTCCCTGCCATTCCTGCGGTAGCTCCCCGCTGCTGTTCGCATCCAGCCGGCTGAGAAGCGGACCGGCGGCGGGGTTCTGCATGGCGGAGGCGTGGTCACGGCTTTGAACCGGGAACGGGGGGGAACAGCTGGATCCCGGACCGGCCACTTCAGAACTGTTGCGCTGCTGCATTTGGGTTCATTTTAAATGGATGAATTACCTTAATCATAAGGGATAAAATAAAAGCATTTTAAATCTAGCATGGTTTGACTAACTGGTTGTGCTACAGAAAGAACCTCCCTGTTGCCGTCGCCAGTGTTGTGAGACCCAGTTAATCTGCAGTAAAGAAGAGTAGACAAAGGCACAGAGGAGAGACCTTGAACTGTTTGTTATCATGGCATTGTTGGCTATCGGCAACTGAAAGGCTTATGCAAGCACGGCGATTTGCCCCTCTAGATCGTCACAACAGCTTTTCTTTGCCTGAAATTGGCTGCCTATTCGGCCTAATCAAAGTCCTTGCAACAATTTGATAAGTTAACGTCCATTATAATTCTCCCAGCCTATATATGAAATAGGTAAGGAGTGTAAATAATACAGGCATAATAATGATGATGATGATGATGATGATGATGATTCAGCACATTCTTGTAAACATATCAATAATATATTAGAAACTTTTTAACAAAAATATTTGAGTCCATCTGGTGTATAAATCACGTCACTACATCCCTTTTTTATCGCGAGTCCGTTTACATGCCTTCAGCAGCAGGTGCAATGCTAAGTTAAGTCGCTCGAATGAATGGGGTTTATTACTCTGATGGACCATTAATCAGCAATGGGGGCTTCTTTGTATAGAGATAAATGCTCATGGACAGAGAAGACAATGTTTCATAAAATATGTAAAATCATTTGAATCAGTTTCTTGCAGAATCACGCAAAATACATGGAATGTCAAATATCATAGGCCTAATGGTTAAGAATATCAAATTAATCCTAAAATCACTGTTTTATTTATTATTCAACTATGCTCTTAAATTCCACCCATCCATCCGCCCAGGGCCGGCACTGCCTTTCCAGGGGCCATAGGCCAAGTTTTAGTTGGGGGGGCACCCTACGAAGAGCATTGATAATTGTTTCACTTTTTCCACAGCGCAGGTAAATTGAGGGCCCTAGGCAACTGCATACTCTGCCTATAGCTAGAGCCGGCCTTGCATCATCCATCCATCCATCCGTCCGTCTATCCATCCATCCATCCGTCTGTCCGTCCGTCCATCCCTCCATCTACTAAATGCTTGAATTGGACCCAATAAATATAATAAAAATAATGTACATGTATTTTAATGGACACGATCAGAGCTAAGCAATTAAACTGCCATTTTACACAAAAATCATGCAAAACGTTTAGCCCACTTGGCGCGTGTGTGGCGTCACTGCGAACTGTACATTTTGATTGTGTAACCCGGGTCATATTGGATGCATTTGCCATGTGCGGGGCTTAGTAAATGATTAGCACCCCCAGTCACTAGGGGGCAGCATCAGGACTGCTGATGCGTCCCCGTGGCGCGAGGAGCCCGTCTGTGGTGCTCTTTGGTCTCCGGAGCGAACAGGAACCGCGGCGCTGTCAGTGTCTCTGCAAGCGGACCCCAAACGCCCATTTATTGTTATTTTTTCCCCTCCGTCAGTGTGTGTTTGCGCGTGGAGAGAAATGGAGGAATATCATTCTGGCGACGAGGTGAACTTTTAGTTCTTAGAGTTGGCTGTTGATTATGTTCTTTTTTCGTTTTGTTATGGTGGTTTTACGACTATTTACCGGAGCACAGATGCGCAGGACTGTACCGTAGCGGTCCGATGTGACCGTCGACCGCGGTGTTTGTTGTTTTGCTTTAGGTGTTTAAATCCTTTAATTAATTAATAAAAAAAGAAAAGAGCATAATAAGGGTGGTACGGAGCCCTTTCCTGCCCCGTCAAGCTTTGATTCGGGTTTTGCCTTGGCCATTTTCACGGGGTGTGGTCCTGCCGAGCTGGTGTCATTCTGGTGTCATTCTAACCAACTGCTCATAAAAATCACCATTCGTGTCAGAATAGGCAAAATCTAAACAGTCATGGCAGGGACTTCATTTGGGTAATTAATCTTAGTAAATAATTACCGGTGTATTTCTACCAATGCATTTATATACAATTTTAAGTGGTTTTTCGTACCCATGTCGCTATGTTAGTAGTTACCCAGTATTACATTGGGGTGGGGACAGACGACTTTAAATGGATGACTTACAGGTGTATTTTTCAAAGGCGTAGACTAAATATCATGCTGTTATTGTCTTTTTGGTGTAATTGTTTTGTCATGATTTGGTACCCCTGTCGTCTATTAATTACCCCAAACTTGTCAGCTTTGAGTAGATACGTGTCTTTCCTCCAAGAGAAATAGCCATGTTCTGTTTTGTAAAGATGAATCACATCTCATTCAAAGAGTTGAGATCTGAAGCGGAGGGAGCTGAAAGAGGTGTTAAAATTTAGGTCGGCAAGTATTTCGGATGCCTGTTGATGCACGTCAGATTAAAAGGATCAGTCCAATGGAAGATGTTTTAAGGCAGTTTACTTTCATAACTTAATACACAATTTCTTCCTTTTCTGTCTTTGACATCACAGGTAACCTTCAATTCTGATGAAGCAAGTAACAACGTTAAAGAGGTAATTGTAGTATTACAAGTGTTTATTCTAATCTTTATGTGGAATAGTTGTTGTTTTCTGTGGTTTGTTCTGTCTTGAGCCAGTAATGTAGAGGGTCTGTTTGTCACGTGAGACATGAGGGCATTGTGAAGAGGGCTATAGAGTTGGCACCCTCTGATTCTCCGTCTGCCTCTTCAGTGCATCGAGGGGATCATCGGTGGGATGGACTATAACCAAAACAAAGTGAACCAGTGGACCGCCAGCATTGTGGAGCACTCTCTGACAACGCTAGTCAAGCAGGGGAAGCATTTCAAGTATATCGGTAGGAAACCGCAGCCGGCAGACATGGGAGGGGTTAATAGAAGAAAAGAGCAAGAGATGCCTTTAAGTCTAGTGATACAGATGAAATGTAATTTAAATATTATTTAAAGGTCATCCTCTTATGGATGTATTGTGGACTTCAGGTTCTTTGAATCAATGAATGAATGTTTTTATATAATGCTTTTTAAGACACCCAAAACACTTTAGAGAACCAAAGGGGAGCCACTTAAACCACCAGCACCGTGTAGCCCCCACTTGGATGATGTGCCGGCGGCCATTCTGCACCAGTACGCTCATCATACAGTGGTTAAGGTGGTGAAGGGGCAGGAGAGAATTCACAAGTTAGATACAGGAGAGGGTTCCCCAATTACAGTCCTGGAGAGCCAGTCTGCAATACGTTTTGTAGATTTTCCTACTCCAGCACATCTACTATACTGGGTAATTGGCTGGTGACCAGAATAAGGTGTGTTTGAGCAGGAAAATCTACAAACTGTGTTGCAGGCTGACCCTCCAGGAACGGAATTGGGGAAGCCTGATGTGGGGGATGATTAGGGGGGCAGATCTGAAATGGCCACAGTTTTAGCCCGGACATCGGGGCACCACCCATATTATTCTGAAAGATGCCCAGGGATCTTTTATGACCTCAGAGAGTCTTTGACAAAAGGAACACACCTTCTGAGCTCAGAGCCAGAGCTGCTATCACAATTTGTCAGGTTTCCTTTCATTCTGAAACAGTGGAAAATCAGTCGTGGGTCACTTGAGTTGTCTGCTTTTCTGCTGTGGCTGAGTCGGAGGCTGTGTTCACTGTGACCTCTGTGTCTCGCAGTGAATTGTGCGATCATGCAGAAGAGTGGCGCTGGTCTGCACACTGCCAGCTCCTGCTACTGGGACATCACCACCGACGGTAAACACCGAGGATATTATTTTCTCACTTGCTTAACGTCACGGGAGGAAATAGAATTTGGTGTCCTTAGGCCCTGTTGACTGTGAAATGGAATATTATTTTGCACGAAGGCCTGTAATAGTGGCAATAGTCACATGCTTCCCAATGGGAAAACCATTCAGACATTCCTCTGATCACGATGCTGGCCTCTCACACTGAAGCTCTGTGCATTTCTCGCCTGCAGGCAGCTGCACGGTGCGATGGGAGAACCGCACCATGTACTGCGTGGTCAGCGTCTTCGCCGTGGCCGTGTCCCTCTAGCTCCAAAGGTCCTGGTGGACGTCAGGCGAAGGGGGGGGTGAACATAGGGTCTACGACACGCACCCAGCCGGGTGGAAGCTTTGAAGATCAAAAGCTAAAAGACGTGTTCTAGGAAAGCACGCCGGGGACCGACAGATGCCTGGAATATCGTCCACGTTGGAGGACTTTCTGCTGTCAGTTGTCACTGCACCTGCTCGCCAGTCTCCCTACGCCTCCATATTTAGTGTCCGTCGTTGTCCTTATATCTGTATGGCACACAAATCCTTCGCTTTTATTAGAGCATGACTGAGTGTAGATTGTTTCTAAATAACACATTAAACATATTGGTAGGAGTGTAGATAATCATACCAGACCCATTAACCCATTGCTTCATGGCTATACAGTGCTCTGTCTCTTTTCATGGCATGTTTTGGCTTAAAGTGGGATCTTAATTTTTTAAAATCTTTTTTGGGGAAAGTGTTTCAGTTTATCCTGACGGGGGTTGAAGCCCCAGAGTCAGGCCAAGGCAGCGTAGGTCACCAGGATTGAGAACACCCTGGATGTACAATTCTGCATGCAGATGCATCTTGGGGCGGAAGTTGCCAGTTAGCCAGACCACGTGACTTTGGGCTGCAAGAGAGAACCCATTCGAAATTGGGAGAAAAATGAAATCAACACAGAGCGTATGTGGGATTTGAGCCCACAATCACAGGGAAATGACAGCAGTGTGCCTCGCTGAGCCACTTCGCTTATTCGGGGGGTGTTTAGCTAATTTGATGCAGCGTTTAGAGGTAGACGATCACAGGTAATATCAAGAGAAACACATTTCTGTGAGTCAGGCCAGTGTTGCCCCATTAGACATCTTAGTGAGTTTTCTAACTCCTAGCAGGATGAAAAACAGTGGCATCTTGTTTTTAGAATACCTTTTGCGAGTATTTTAATAGCAATCTACACCGTCATTTCAGTTTTTTTTTTTTCCCTCTCGTTCGTGGTGATCCTGGGGGCTGAACACCACGTGATCGTGCTCGCAGCAGAATGTCATACTTGCGCATCCCCCCGGCCGACAGTAGGTGTCACTGTAAAGCAGTGAGGTGAGAAATCAAGTCACTGACACACCCAATGGAAACCGGCCAGTTGTGTGATTTCCTAGTGTCACAACTGCAGGATTTTAACGTTGTAGCGATTAATGTATTTTCTCGAAACGTTAAATTTCATTTGGCTTCATAATTAATTGCCTCAATTGTTTCCTTTAAAGGTCCCCACAGCACTCGTTCTGCTTGCTATCACGGTCAGCAGCATTCTTTACTGGATTTTGGGAGAAACCAGGGATAAATCTTACAATTTATATTAAATGATATTTTGTGTTTGATTTTATGGTGCAATTTTAACTGTAATAAGCAACTTTTAAGCATGCATTGAATACTGATAATCATTTGATAATATATGTTATTACTTTGTTATGGTTTTAATGATAATTATACAGGAAGGAGAGTTTTTGTCCTGGTAAAACTAAAACAGTAGCACCGTTTTACCAGTCGATATTTTTAAAAATTAATTTTGGCCATGTGCAAGAGGTGTTCATCCTTCCCGTAACCCAAGATTTGGTTTAAATTTTTTTTTTTTTATTGTAATAGCCACCCAGAAGGAATGACCACAGCTGCGGCTTACGGATGAATGTTTAAATCGTTACTTCCTTCCTGTATTGGCATCAGAATTACTTTTATCAGATAATGTAAGTTACCTGAGGTGGGACCGTCAGGCAAGTGGGTTAATGCTGATTTTGGGTCAAATGAATTGTGCCGTTTTCCAGTCCAGTTATAGTTAAGTGCATGATTTAACCAAATCTACTAAGATGTAAATAAACCCAATTAATCCCTTGCATTTATCTAAAGGTTTGTGTACTTTAAACAGGCAGCATTTCAGATTTTAAGGTACCACCCACACACTTGGTTATATTAAATTTTAAACCTCATCACCTGGCTCTGGTGTGCAGGGGGAGGTCTGGCACAAAAACAGCGACATGCAAAGATTAACAAGGAAAGGTTAAATGATGTACTGCAAATATCTTGAGTCAGTCACTTCGCTACAGAAAAAGAGCTTTTTGAGTTTCGCATACTTTTATCTTTTTTTTTTTTTTGCAACGAAAAATATCTACTGACAAACTAAATGAGCAAAGCAGAGAAGTTCATGCAGGACTCAGTCATTCAGTCCAACCAGTCAGATGGAGTCTCAAAACCGCCTTAGGTAGGCTGGCCAAACAATGCAGAACAATGGGAACGTTTTATCAATGAGATAACACCTGTCACTTTTGCATTATGAATTATACATACATTTTACAATATAGTCTGGGTCAAATAATGATTACGGAACTTCCATCCAAATTGGTTACCGGCTCGAATCAGCTTATTGTATTCAAAGCAAACTATTTCGCAATGTTGAAAATTCCACTTTGAGAAAAGCGTTTAACTACTGGAAAAGGGAACAGTGATTTTCACACACGGAATATCATGCAGAGGCGGCACTAGAGAACTAGACTATTTCTAAATGTGTTTTGCAAGACATTTTGAAATCCAATAAATGGCATGTCAAAATGAAAATTATGAGCTAATGCAAACTTCCCGTTGCGCTGTGGTTGGGAAGAAGTGAAAATTTCCTACCGCACTGATATACTGTCTAAAACTTGCTTTGAAATTTCCTGATGTACAGAAATTAGATGAATTGTTCCTTCCAAAATGCATTTAAAGATGTGTAGAGTAATACAGTAACTGCTCAGATTGTGATAACAGCTCCAGAATTGATTTTACAGTGTATAAAAGCTCTTTGTGATTTCAAAACAAATACTGACAACCTAAAGCAGGAAGCAGGCACTGGCCATTTGGGTCTTTGCTGCCCTTCTTTTGTGACAGTAAATGCTAGTTTTCTGCCTGAATTGTTCTCGCCTCAGTGTCTAACATAATTCTGTGTTACTTCTGCCAGTTAATGAACCACAGGTTTGCTGGTCATTGAGAAACTATAGGAAATGGTGGTCAGTTGGAGCAGCGTGTTTACAGTCTTAAGGCATCAGAAGTTCTCCTTATTGAAGATGAATTTGACCTCCGACTGTGAATGGCTATGACACTGCTTCTCCAGGGACTCTGCCAGGGCTGGTGGCCCGCAGAGGAACACTCCAACTTTTGACCTGCAAGAAAAGGCAAAGGCGTGTCTCATTTAGCACCACAGCATGGGGATGTTCACTGCGACAGCAGAAAGGTCACAGTCTTATCTCCAGTTATTTATTTACGTTTTGGTTAAGAAGCCTGACTCAGGACCCGGCTTCCTAATCTATTGAGAACCCAAAAATGTCCCGGGCTGTGTTCCTCAAAAGCATAGTTGCTAATTATGCTGCCACAGTCCAGTACGTGAACAATTACGGCTGGAGATCCTCTTCCCCTGACTGTTAGAGCAGAGTAACAGGGTTAACATTGGTTCCTCTTACCCTTTGTGCTTTGCGCCAATGGAGTTAAACTCGCTGTTCCAGTTTGGTTTCCCATACAAAGTCTTCTGTTTTAGTCCAGTGATGGGATCATTTTCTGCTTCGTGATGAACGGTGAAGTGGGCCGCCTACAATGATACGGAGTAAAACTCAACAAGTAACTACTGAAACGGCAAGAACACTTGTTAGATGTTGCCTTGTTTAGGTCCCCGCTTGGACAGCGTCTGTTTACCTCTTTTTCCTTCCACCTGGTCAGATAAATGTTGTAGCTGAGGAAGTCAGTAGAGCCCTTTTCTGCCATCTGTCTCTCCAGACACTGCAGCAGGTCAGCAAACCACTCGAAGGCCTGAGTCTCGGGGCACAGCCAGTAGAAGTAGATCTGAAATGGATCAGCGAAGCCCTTTATTTACATCCAGGAGGGTTTGGGTCCCAGTGTGGCAGGGGTTAGTGTCATATTATTATTATTATTATTATTATTACTACTACTATTATTTCTTTTCTTTAACAGATTTTGTTTGTTTATTTGTCTATCTATATATTATTGATTTGTTTGTTTATCCTATGCATGCTTATTTTAATTCCTTTCTTTTAAATGTTTGTAATGCACTTTACAAACCTTGCGGTTAAAACAGTGCAATATTAAAAAATACTAATCGATGGAGAATGAAGTCGGTATCCATCCAACCCCGATCCAAGCTAAAGCAGGTGTCCCCCCCCCCCCTCCAATATCATTCCTAACAACATCTGAGGGACAAACAAAAATGAAAACCCCCACCCTCTCACCTTTTTGGTGAACACTTTGGCGTTCTCATGAACGTACTTGTACCACACCGACTTGAGGATGGAGGCGAACGGGGTCACGCCGATGCCCGCACCCACCAGCATGACCACTTCGTAGCGAAAGACGTCCTCACTGGCAGTGCCGAATGGCCCGTCTACTGCCACCCTGCGCGTCAAACAGCTCCATTTACCTCCAGGGTCTCGCGCCTCCTAATTAGTGCAGCAATTCAACCTCCGGGGGTTGTGGCAAATTTTGTACCATTGTGCAAAGTACTTGAATTACCCAAATAAATACCCAGTTAGTATAAAGATATGAAACAAAAGGTTTTAAAAGTGACACTATTTTGCATATGGGAATAATATATTTCTTCCTTTTCCACATTTGTTTCTCAATACTAACGGATTCAGCAGATGTTGTAAATGCCATATCCCCTTTCTGCTGAGCTAGATATAGGAGGACATTTTGTGGTTGATCTCCCAAGGGTTGCTGCTCCAATGCTCATATTCTGACTCTTACTTTGGTAGCTTCCAGGCTTCCTGCACCCCTTTCTTGTCACCAGCACACTCCTTGTACAGTCCTTCTGTCCAGTCACCCACGATGCGGATGTGCACGCTGAAGTGGTCTTCTTCCGGGGCAGAGGTCAACGTAAATGGGTGCCACTCCAGCTGGGAGATGGATGGGCACTGCAGGAAAATGTACTGGCCCACCTCCATCTTGAAGCCCTTCATCCTCATCTGAAGCTCCAGGGTTCTTGAAGGATGCATCACCACCTGTGACAGGGAGATGGGTTTGAGTCACGAGGATTTCACAACCTTCTTTAATTCAGGAACAAAGACCACAGCACAGGAAATCTGTCCATACACACACTTAGCTAAGACAACAGCTTCAAACTCCAAATGCTATGAACCTGACCTTAGTGATGACGACCTTCTGCTGTGAGCGGATGAACCTCACCAGTCGCTCACAGACGTACAAGAACATCGGGCCCACCACCCACTTCCATGTCTGAAACCAACCATATGGACGATAAAAACCAAGAGCAAAACTGTTGACAGCAGTTCTGTTACAGATGCATCTTCTAGAAAGATCTGAGGGACATCAATGTGCACAACACAAGACCTGAGAGAGTCAGAGGTTTTATGTGGATAACTAACCATTGGTGGATTTCCAGCAAAATTTGGCACGGGACAAACGGTGCTGTTTTCACCCCAGGTCTGGTAGTGCTGAGAGCACTCTTTTGGATTGTGTTCACTGAGACTCTCAGCGGTTTGACCTCGCACAATACGCCTGTGGAGCCAAATACAACAGCGGCACTGCGTTACAACAGCGGCACTGCGTTACAACAGCGGCACTGCGTTACAACAGCGGCACTGCGTTACAACAGCGGCACTGCATTACAGTGAGCCACAGCTGTATCTCCTCTCACACCACACTCTCGTTGGAACACCTACCCAACTCCGTGGAGTACCAGGCCGATAAAGAAGATGACGAAGAGATGATGAGTGAACCAGAAGACTTCATAATACGACCTCCGAATGACCTCCATGGATGATGTAATCATTAGGATCAGAGCCAAAGTAATGACCACTCCTGTCAGGCCAGCAATTGTGGTGAACATCACATAAGTTGGATTCTGTTCAAAGATTGTAAACTGTTTCAGTTCACTTTTCATTTACTGTGAAATTTGAACTGTTTTTTGGGGAATCCAAATGTTATCAAGATGGATTCACTTGCTGATAAAGAGTATTAGCTCAATGAATGAAAATGTAAGTCCGATATTAGCATGGAGATGTAAAATAGAACTCAAGGAAAAGTATTTTTGTAAAGTTCCTAAGTGGTTTTGTTACGCAACACATTTCATCCCCATCGCAGTGTGTGACATACATCCTCTGTGACAAAAAGTCACTAATACATTTTCAGACACACTGACAGTGTCATCTGCTCAGGCTGTCACATGCAAGGCAGTGTATCCTAATCTATCATGCTTCGCTAACCATCTGATTGGTCAGCAGGTCGAGAGGCGGGTCTTACGGTATCAGCTGTTCTGATAGGGTTCAGGAAGGATCGATTGTCTCCATTCCCAACCTGGGACAGCACATAGGGCAAGGTGCTGTTGCTGTCAAGCTGGGCCCCCATGAACCTCTCAAAGTTGAACAAATGGGCCAGAATATGGATTGCTGAGGAAGAGAGGACCAAGATGTCTAATTTTGAATATTTATCCATCCATCCATCCATCCATCCATCCATCCATGTGGGGGCCTGGACTCCATTCCAGGCAGAACAGGGCCGAAGGGATAAGGGGGACACTCTTGATGGGATGCCAGTCCATCACAGGAAACATAAACGCAACCAGTCACACAATACAGGCAATTTACAGACACCAGTTAGAACTGCAGGTCTTTGGAAACCAGACTAACTGAAGGAAACATCGGGAGAACATGGAAACTCCACCTATAGGAGCGGAGGCAGGAATGAAGAAAACGTAAATATATTACTGAAGAACAACATGCATCACTGTTTATTTCAATTAGTGACAGTAGTTAAGATGAACGCATGCTGAGATTCTGACCAAATTTATAGGGCCAAAGTAATAATTAATATGCAATGAATACAAACGAGTTTAAGCAAGAGACAACGTTCGCTGTGTCAAAAGAAATGAATGTTGACTGTTAACGATGCGCAGAGACGATCGCAGGGTTATCTGTGGTGATGTGGTCATTCGTTATTACCTGTATGCAGCGCTATCATGTAAGCCACAAGCTTGTGGAAAGTCAGGTTTCTGTCCAGCTGACGGGCTGCGCTGCGACTGCATCTCTGCAAACGAACATGCAAACAAAACGAAGCGTGTGTTTTAATTGTATACGGGAATCCAGTAGGCCTGTATATGTTATAATAATACAATACAAGAAAGCAGGTCTGTCATGTGTTAATTGCAGTAGTGTTTGCAATTTGAGCGTAACAGTATCCTTATAAACGAAACAATATCTCGACCACAACATTGCACAATTACCCGCCACCAATTATTACATGAATTTTCCTGATTGACACATCTGATGTCAGCTGAAGGAGGAACATAATGCCGCACAACTTACACAATATAACAGACACACGTACACACTCACTTGGACGGAGCCGCGGAGGAAGGAAAGCAGATTTCGGCAGACAGGCAGCAGGATCAGCATGCAGTTGAAGTTCAGGCAGGCGGCGGGAGCTCTGGCCCATGGCAGCGCATCCTGAGCAGATCAGAAGCAGAGATCACTTTCACTTCTGCTCGCGGCTAATTTAGGCTCCGCACCTGTGCCCGGGTCCCTCCCAGTCAGTCAACCTCAGTTAAAAATACTATAATAGTAATATAAAGTGCTTTTCACAAAACCGAATTATGAGATTGCAGCACGTTTCCAGAACTACAAACAGCAACACAGATACTTTAGAAAAATCTTCTAACTTTGTTTTTTTTTTTAAATTTTTTTTATTATAATGATTATTAGCCCACTAAAAAATTTAATCAGTGAATGCACATCTAAAGTTACATTTTCTTTATTGGTTACGAATTAATGCCTTGAGGGGTGGAAGACAGACTTACTCCGAGGATGGCCCTGGTGTAGAAGAAGCGATCGGTGAGGAAGGCGATGTAGAAGTAGACGAAGAGGAAGGCATTGATCCCCAGCCAGACGAGCTGAAAGAGAGCCCGTTAGCCAAGTCGCGGTCAGAAGAGAGAGGACAGAGAAACAGGCATGAACTTACAATGACAAAGATGGAGAGTCCTTCGTTTTCTAACCAGTTACGCATGGTGAGAGCAAGAGCGAGTGAGTTTACTGAGCCGGGATGTGCAAAATATATAAGCCTAGCTAAAGAGGAAGTGGGAGGAAGACAATTTGGGGCAAGTCCTTCTTGGGGAAGTACATCACGCCGAGCGATTTCACTGCAGGCTAATCTAGGAGGCTTATCGCCCATATGCATTGATAAAATACAATTACTAGCTGGAAGTACATAATTTAAGGCCTTATTTCACAGTAGCAGAATCATTCCTCAGGTTAAGTGATGGTTAATGAGTAATCTAAAAATTTAATACATACGATTGATTAATGTATCTTACATTGTAGTGGATTAATAAAATAAAAAGTGAACTGCACATAAAATGCACATTTTTTCATAAATCAGTTGTTTTCCCCTCTAAATGTTTGGAGCGCAGGGCGCCACCTATTGACGGGGTACATACTTAGCATGCCAATTTCCAGGGGTGGATAGTTCAGGTGCACAAAGTACATATCTAGACCAGAAAATTATTTTCAGCCAAAAACCAACAAGGACCGTTTTCTCTTAAGTATAAAGCCAGACACAGAGTACTCAGCTAACTGGTTGAAATAAAATCTTGGTCTGGATTTTTCCTTTCTGGATGCAAACTATCCACCTCTGCCAATTTCACTTTGTCTCGGATGGGGCTTGGGGGGCCAGGAGAGACAGTGATCCTGGTGCAGAGCCTAGTAATTATGGCAACACATGGTCTCTCACAAATTAAACAGACCCCCACCCACCAACTTACCCTGTAAGACAAGTCACATGAACGGCTTAGACATGAATGTGTTTTTTATTTATCATTAAGGCACAAGCTCAAAAGCTAAAGTTCAACATCAAAATATGAGAATATAAATACAGTATAATTGTACTGTATATGCCAAATTATTTATGGTATGCCACAATACAGGGACCAGTTCAGAAAACATACAAAAGTTACTTGCATACTTACGTGCATATTTCGTAAAGGGCAGCACAAGGCAGAACCCAAATACACACTGTTGTTACAGGTAACACAGCCTTTTAGCATGATAAAATAATAAATCGGAAGAATAAAATGCTACTCTCAGAATTAAAATGTGAATCAAAACAGTTAATCTACACCACTTGCCCTTCACTGCATTACGGGGGTCCAGAGCCTATCTGGTAACAATGGGGGTAAAGGCAGGGAATAACCTAGGGTAGGACTCCAGCCCTTCGCAGCTAATTAAAATGACATTTTTTAACTCTATGAAATTTGCTTTTCCTTTCGTTTGCGCCAAAAGCCATACAGGGTGCTGGAGCATAACATCAGGAAAACAAACAATGTTCCCTGCTGTTGACCAAGTACTCAAGCAATGTGCATTTAATTGTATCCTTGCTATATCTTCATAGTATGGAATGTTTTCTAACAATAAAATAATAAGTTTAACCATCACATATGCCGTTAGTTATGGAGAAGGGCTACAGTAATAGCACAAAGGCCGGGACGTGCTTTTATATTTTAAATTTACTTGTTTAACATTTAAAGTCTGAGATTCAAACAATTGCACATTTTTTGTTCACTAGGTGTCAGAAAAATAAAATTACATCACAAAATTATACATTCATTTAAACTTAGTACTAATAAACTGGATTAAAATAAATTCATACAAGTAAAATCCCATAAATAATATGAACAAATATTTCAAAATAAATATGACTCTATCGCAAAAAATACTTTATATTTTACAAATGCCAGATACCATTTTTAAGTTCTTGGTCTCATAAATAGTGATGACCGCATATCAATAAATCTGTGAGGGAAAACAGAGTAAGCTGAACCAGTGAGTAAAATGGGCTGCGTCTTATATCTGAGTGTGGAGACATAATATCAACCATGTGATCAGGGGTGTGTTCCACAAAGCAGGGATTCTCAGTTAGCTGGGTCAGTTTGTCCAATAAGAGTTTAAGTAAGGAGCATTCCTATTGGACGATCATGATTGTCCAATAAGAGTTTAGGTAAGGAGCATTCCTACTGGACGATCATGATTGTCCAATAACAGTTTAGGGAAGGCGCATTCCTATTGGACGATCATGATTGTCCAATAAGAGTTTAGGTAAGGAGCATTCTTATTGGACGATCATGATTGTCCAATAACAGTTTAGGGAAGGAGCATTCCTATTGGACGATCATGACTTCTAACTTTAAGTTATCCCAGCTAACTGAGAAATCCTGCTTTTTGGAGCAGAATATGATGCAGAATATTTAATCTTTCTTAAGCTCTAATGGAGGTGAACACTTTGAGAGTGGTGAGCAAACCAAAAATTGTATTTTTTGACAAGCCAAGTGAAATAATCAGTATTATATCCAGATGAAAACAGAGGTTAGGGACACTTAGATATTAGTTTTAAGCAGTATAAAATAAACTTGCGAAACCCAAATGCTACAGACCATCGGATGAGGAGGCGTAAGAAGTGCCTCATTCACCAGCCCCCCCCCCCACCCCCAAAGACATATTGTTTCAATGCAAAAATAAAATTAGTGAAAAATATAATACAGTTATATTAAACCATAAATATAGTTCAGGATTCAATTTTCTCTATGCTGTAACATATTTATATAATAAAGTGAATTAATATAATTCTACATTTAAAAGTAATGTTCAGTTCTGGGAATGATAATAGTATTCATGTAACTGCATGCCTTAAACAAGAATAGAAAGTAATTAATGTTAATTCATGTTGTTTTCTTGAGGAGGAATTTCATCCACAAAGTGCTTTTTACATGCATTGGATGTAAAGAATGTGAAGTTTCGGGTTTTACAGATCACAGGGTTTTATTTGATACTCAGTAAAGCCGTTCTTGTGCAATTATGTGGAAAGTTGCTTTGAAAAGTTAAACACCATCATCAGCTGACAGAAAGCCGGCAATATATTCTGGGGATGTTGACGCTGAGATCAGAAAATTGCTGAGGATTTGCAGAGCGCATAAATATTACTCTCCGATGAACTTTGAATACATAACGAATAGGAAATGTCTCTAGGTCACATCAGAGGGTGAATCCACAAATCTCCGGTTTCACTCCTAGGATGGTGAGAAAATGGCTTTAAAAATATAAAATATCTCGTAATATGAGAGTAAATTTTGAAGCATAATGTTTCCCGTACCGGCTTGTCCGATGCTGGGCTGCAGGGGGTCCACCTCCAGTTAATCTCAGCATGCTATATGGACTGGGGGAGGAAACCCCATGATGACACGGGGAGAACATGCAAACTCCACACACATGGAGTCATGGCAGAGACTCGAACCCTGGTCCCAGAGGTGTGAGGTGACAGTGCAAACCACTGCACCACCATGCCACCCCCACTGTATAATTTCCTGAAATGTAAATATTTTTAAAATTAGATATCTTTTCCCACCTAATGTTAGTGACATTAGTGCCACCTAATGTCACTAACTGTGCCACTGACTGTCCTGCCTACCAGGATATAGAGAACAGCTGCGTCTCTCGGAGTGCATGGAAGCACCAAGTGCCTTCCGGGCCGACGATGCTGGCGCTGGCCTGACCGAGGGGCCACAAGCCCACAAGGACCAGAAAGTGTCACATAAAAGCAGCTGATCCTAGGGAACCATAAAGCCCTTTCTCCACATTAGAGCTCCTCTAGGGGGCGCTGGAGACCTCTAAAGCTGTCAAAGGTTACAGGACTCAAGGAGGTGGCTGACGTCGCAGAGTCGTGCGTGTTGTCATTTTCAGACGAGCCGGGGTGGCTCTCTGCGGATTCCTCTCGTTGGCGGGGTCCACAGGGTGGGCAGAGGAAGGGGGCGAATCCCAGGATGCCCCGGGAATCGCTGGAGGCTAAGAGCTTCTTGCAAGGGTGGCAGAACCGGTAGAAGATCAGCATGAAGAAGATGGCCACGGCATAGCCAGCCAGCAGATGCAGTAGAAGCAGCGGCGCACACACCAGGCGGTACACATCTGTGCGGAAGCGGTACCACAGCAGGAGCAAGGCAGTGTTCTCTAAAAAGCGGATCACATAATACGCTGCCATGCGGAACCGGTTCTGTGACTTGTTGATCAGGTCTGGGTCGCTCAGCTGCAGCTGAACCGCCGACCAGCAGAACATGTTGATGCCGGCGTAGAGGAAGGTGAGGAGGCCCAGCACCGTGGTGGTCCCAACCCGCGTCAACGTCTTCTCTACGTTTTCTGGGAAGGGACATCGGCTTCTCCAGAACAGCAGCCAGGGGTAGGAGGAGAAGGCCAGGAAGTTGGCGAGCACCACCGGCACCATCCAGGACCGCAGCACGGAGCTGAAAAGCACCAGGACCGCGACCCGCGTGGCGATCTCGCAACTGCGCCACAGGAAGATGCAGAGGTAGGCCGCGGGCCCCACGTCAACCTCGTAGTCGTCGTACTTTATCTTTATGGCCAGGATGTTGCAGCGAAGGGCGCCGTACACAATGGAGAGGAGCGAGATCACCATCAGCACGCCTGAAAGGAACGAGGGTGAGAGTAACTGATTTTGGAGCCTCGTGCTCAGATCTGTGAGTAACTAAGGAGATGAAGCTGTTACACATTCAAATATATTTATCCAACATCAAACACACTAGCGATGGCAGGATAGCAGATTAACGGCTCCCAGGATGCTATATGCTGCTGCTTACCTCTGCCGGCAGACACGCCTCGCTGTAGCACGCAGATGTACAGCTGCAGAGTCAGTTGGGGGGCAGAGCCCAGGAAGGCCTGGACGACGGAGGCTCGGGAGAAAGCTGCCCGGTGCACCACCAGCTTACCCTCCGCCTGCCCCACCTGCCGCTCCACCTCCTCAGCCGGGCCGCCGTGGGGCATTCGCTTCAGCCTGGTGATGCTGACGTACGGCTCCTCCACCTTTCCCATGCTCCCATAGATGCAGAAAGCCTCCAGGCACCTGCAACGACAACACCAGCCCTGAGACCTGCCGTGACGATCCATCTGACTCCGGACGTTAAAGAGCGCCGCATTATAAAGCGCATCGTTCTGTTTGAAAATGACAACCAGTCTCTGTTCAGTAAACAAATTCCAGCCATTTGATAAATGTAATTTGCATATATTAAAACAAATTAGTAGTTAAATGACGCTTTCATTTGTCAAACTCAAATACAAAAGCAGTTATTAGTGTCGTCCAGAAGCGACTTGCCCGGGGGTCTTGTTTTAACAGCTTTGCAGAGACGAATCTGCGGCGCACTTTCAAAAAAAACATCGCAAAGGGCGTGATGCTGATACAACCTGCAAGCCTTTGCTATACAATACTAAAGTAAACACAAAGCAGATGTGAACATCTAATCTAGATATCTGTGCTCTATTGCCCTGCGGCACGACCGCTTTTTGAAATCACCATTGTGTCCTAAGCAGACTCCTTACATTGCTGCAATTTTTTAACACGCACCCTGGAGTGTATAAATTATTATTATTATTATCAAAATTATTTTTAATACAGCCTAAATGACACGCTGTCCATACTGACCTCGTGTTGATAAACAGGTTGCTGTCACCGGTGATCTAAACGCCAAGCTGCAAGCTGAATTCACGGCCCTGTAAAACTGCGGTTTGTAGCGGCGGATCGATGTCATTGTTTGCATTTTTTCAGACACAAAGCTTATTTCTGTTAATAAACCGCAACACCCCTACTTCAGAATGCAGGGAGCTTCAGTGGTCACAAGTTAGACAGGACTGATATTAAGCACCATCCCGATCAACTGGCTAAACTCAGCAACTGAGCCCGATCATCTGTTAGGTGAAATAAAGCCGACGCCGTGCATAAGGTAAACACACCTAAGATACTGTGAAACTGATATAAACAACTGTTGTAATAGTTCCTGGAATGAAAATTGTCTGTACACAATAAGAAGAAAAAAAGTTGCTTCTCTCGTGTTTGGCTCTATGTAGGACATAGCCTATAGATTTAGCAATAAATGTCAAGCAGATTCCAGCGGAGTGGAACAGATGGCCGGACCATGAGTGGAGTAATTATGGAGTAACACTCAGCATGACACCGGCCCTTAGCCGATCGGGGAAATTTACAACCAACTTGATAGCAGAGCTCAGGCAGCCTTAATGAAGGGTCACACCTGGCACCCGGCATGAGAAACTTAAGCATGCTGCTCCAGTATCCTCACTTTAAAAAAAAACAAAAAAAAAACTAATAACGGTGTCAATGTCTCAATTAAACTTACATGGAAATACAACACCGGTCTGACTTAAATAAACTACTCTTACTCACCCGCGAGGTGGAGGTGAAACTGATGGTCAGTGCGACCATCTAAATATGAATTTACCAAGCATTACCGCAACACTTACCCGGGACGTTTAAAGTCCTGGGAGATACACAAGTAAACCGGTTTGGATTTTATAAAATGAACAGGAGCGTGGAAAAGATAATTGATTATAAACTGCCTTCGGTATACGCAGTGATGTTAATATTCTGTCGTTGTTTTTACGATTATTGTGACCGTAACGCAGGTATTAAAAGAAACACCATTTCATTAATTATCCCGCCCCAAAATGCACTAATAGACAAGTTTGAGTTGTATGCAGAATTACCTGTGATCCGAGCGGCGCGAAGAAAACGGCCCATCGCAAAGACCCGCAGCACCCCATGGTGAAACTTACACAGCGGTGGCCGTTTGCTCACGCGCGTCGCCTACCTTACTATAGGTCCCAGCTGCAGGATGTGCAGCAGCAGCACGAACGGCCTGTCCCTGATCAGGTCCCTGTGGATAAAAATCAGTGTGAGCTGCACTAGAGCCGACGACACAAGCGTGAAGAGGAGCGTGAGTGTCTGCCAGATCCGGTCCCCTGCAGATTGGTACGTGGTACTGAGGTAAAGGGCAACCACCGTCTCGGCGATGAACAGAGAGACAGACACAAAGATTGAGCTCGGCAGTCTCATTTCCACAAGGCCATGGGGAAAGCGGGAAGATGCCTCTCACCGGCGGTGCCAGTGCGTTACGCGGACGCAGCACTGCCGCGTCCTCTGTATGATTACCCTCCTCTGACGGTTTTACTACTTAGAGTAAGTAGGTGGCGCTATCTGAATATGCGAAGTGCACATGTTCTAATGGACGTCGTTAGGTCCCCGAGTATTTTACCTCCCCGATGCCAATATACCTTTAAAAAATAAGTCAAGCCCCCAAGTAAACGACTTTTTTCAATAGCTAGAAACGCGTCGTTAAATGTTTCAGTCCCCAAGTAAAGCCTCAGCCCCCCTATGCATTCATTTCTAACTGCGCCACTCTTCACGACCAATTTTCATATCTAAAATCGTAATTATTATAATGAAATTTCAGCTGTTTCTATTATTTAGGATCCAAAGCATGTAGTGCTATGGCCCGCTGTTTTTTATATATTATTATTATTGACAACAATAATAACTGCAAATCGCGTTTGTTACTCATTAAACTTTATATACAGACATCATCATTTTTACAGACACATTGATGAGAATCCAACACTTTATTAGTCCAAGATCCACATTTTAAATATTCACTAAATCTAAAGTATCATTATAAGCACGCCAATGTCTATTTGCAATCTAGGTATAAACCAGACGTAACAGCCATTCTACTAAATAAATAATCCATCTAAATATTTACAACTTAATATAAAATAATGTAACAACAGAACAAATTTCAGAACAAATTTCAAATTACAACTAAATGGACTTAGAAGGTTAGAGACATCACATAATTTATTATTTCGTAAATGCTATTATTCTTAATTTAATCAGTCTTTCGGCAATTTCAAAGGCAACTAGCAGGAATTACAGCAAATACAACATAGCTATATGATACAAACACCTCATTTGATAAACTAATTATAAGTGATTTAAATATATATTTGTGAATTGTAGAACACAATATTTAAAAATTATTGTGGCCTATTACAAAGCATTCTGCCAAATAGATTATAGAAATTGCTTTATGTAACCCTAGCCCCACTTAAGTTAAACTGAATACCTAACTGCATACAAATATTTTATAATGTGAATTTTATCTGAAAAATGACTCCGCAGCTATTAAGTAAGGCCAAAACCCTTTTTAAAAAGCCACTGGGCTTGTATTATAAAGCTGAGTTTTAGGGTTGGTAGGATATGCTAGGTGTATGGGTTTGGGCTCTGTGGTAGTAAACAAAGATAAAGTCCATTTAAACTGGGGTACCATAAATCCAGTAAGTTATCTAGTTATCCAGCAAATCTGGCTTCACGATCCAGGTTCACTTACTGCACTATTCAGGATAGCTGCATAAACGTTATTTGCAGTGACACACTTGGAGAAGTCTCACGGACGTGCACCAACACTACCTCTTCCATTCTTTTGGTTGCATTAATGGTGCGTTAACGTCTTATTTTACAGCTTGGGGGTCTTGGAGGGTCAGCACAAGGTTCACTGTGAGTCAGTCCAAAACGCGAGTCCGTCACAGTTCATTTGGGGTCTACCTTGTGATAATTAGGTTTTATACAGTATAAAACAGGGTTCTACACCATATATGCCATACGTTTCCAGACTTGCTGGAGATCATGCACCCCACAGACACCCACAGGCCTTGGGTTGAGATGCTGCCCTTCAGTGGTCACCCTGTGACAACCAGCTCACACTGGTGACTTCATCAAAAATATAAGTAAATTCAGATTTTTTTTTTCATATTTTAGAATACCTATAGTACGCTTTCAGGAAAAAAAAAAAAAAAGAGTACCAATTTGTACCTTTGCTTGTCACTAGGACTGTGCCCTCTCTCTGAGGAACATCCCCAAGAGACAAACAACATTAATGTACCCCCAATGGTACAAAAATGTTCCTCATAGTCTATTTCTGTACCTTAAAAGGTACATTTACCTACAGCTATAGAGTACAGATCCTCGAGGGTGCAGCCCCAGTGACAAGCAAAGGTATGAACTGCTGCTCTTTATTTCTCACAGTGTAGGCCAATTTATTGCAATCGTCACCAAAACATTTGCATACTTCCTTACCTTATCCATACTTATCCAGACTTAAATACCAAAATCAAATTCCATAATTTTCCCAAACTGTCCCCTGCTGCATAGGAGCCCCGTTTAAATGCATTCGGAGGGTCGTAGCCAAACAGCACTGAGCTATCTAATGGAGGGCACTGCTCTTATTTCCCAGAGCGCCCTCTACTGTCGGCCGCTTGAAGGTAACTTGAGATGTTGTTCAGCAGCCCCATGTGCACAGCCTAAGCGGAAAGCCTGGAAAAACATTTTTCCTGATTTAGGATATTTTACCATATCTGATTTTTTCTAACATTCTTCCACCATATATAAAATCACAGTTGCTTCAAAACATCCTCGTAATGTTTCTTACTGTGGCAACGTCAAGCAACTACAGCCACTAAGACAGTGAAACAGCTCTAAGAAGTCGCCAGTTTTCCAACGTTGACTTAAGCTCAAGACGACGGCTCACATCTCCTGATCACTCCCGCTGTGACCTAGACAAAGACACTGAAGAGCGGGAACTCCGATTTGTCAGGGTGCAGGAGATCCACGAGGAAACAGACCGTACCAGAGAGACCTTCGAAAAGACTGTAAATGCGATTCATGGAACTGGAGCCGGCCTTGAACTCATCACTGAACATGAACTCTCCAAACCTGCGGCAAGAAGAATGGGGAAACATTCGATCAGGGAGATCTGAGAGTCAGTCAACATTCAAGCAGATTACAACAGTAAAGAAAATGCTACAGTCAAGATCTGCTCAGAGGGTGTTCCTCAATAAACAGACCGTCCTCCGAACTTCTGTTCTTGAGTATTGGAACAGTGGAATATGGTGTAAAACGGGTACATGAGAACACAAGTACGGTGAAGTACATCTATGAAGGAACACCCAGCCTTCCTAGCACAGCAGGACGTCGGCTCTGCCTTGCCTCTGTGCGCGGTAAATGTATTTGGAGTTTCCTGTGAGCCGGTAGAGGAGCAGAAAGACGTAGGCACTCCCAGCGACGCCGTGACAGATTCCTCGGCCCTTCTTCAGCAGACCCTTCTGCCACACTAACTCGCCACTTCGGATGCAAGTGTCCAAGTACTGCGGCCTCTTGTTGACCAGATAGGCCTTGGCGAATAGGTAGGCCACGCCTGAAAAGAAGGGGGAAGGAAGACTACAGAGGAGCCAGACATACTGCACTGAAGAAATCTGGGTTAAACCCTGCAAACGAAGGGCCCTGTTTGGGATCTGAACCAGCAGCCTTCCTCCCTGTGGCTCAGGACAGTGGGATTCTCACCTGGGGCTCCGTGGCACCAGTGTACCAGCTCATTCTCCCGCTGGATAATGGAGCCCAGCTCGGCTGGCCAGTTGCAGCTCTGCTCCTGATTCATCAGGAAGTCCACGCTCTGCCACACCAGTTCCTTCTCCCCCGCCGACAACACTTCCTGGTAAGACAGCAGCATCTGCAGGATGGAGGACAGGCCGTGGGCGGCACCTGCAAAGGGGCACATGTACGCACAAGGGCACACAAAGACGGGCACACACAGACGGGCACACACAGAAACGCACACGCAGTGACTAGAGAGAGCACAAAATGCAATCGTGCCCCTTAAAATTCAACATTCACAAAATGTTTCTTGTGATTTCAAAACACTGGTAATATACACAGCTGTTTTGAACTGAATGTTGATTAAATCAATCCAGCTTTAGACATATAATAAACATTTTGTGAACAAGGGGTTTAGTATAAGATGCAGCAATTTCACAAAAATAATTCCACATTTACTTTTTACTCCACAACATTCCATTAGAATGGATCAGATAAGCTAAGGTTTTTTATGGCTCATCTCGTTTTTACACCTTGATTGATTATAAGAAAAATGGCACAAGTTGGTCATTAAAATTCTGAAAGTATCTGGTCAATTTACTTTGGTAAAGTGCTGTTAATTAAACTAATAGTTAGCACATCTGATTCCCAGACATTCAAGTAAAACATGCCCATTTACACGGAGAGCAGAGACTAACCATCCCCATCATATATCATACGGCCGGTGTCATTTTCAAGGCGAGAGAAAAAGCATGCAGACACCTGTGCAATAAAAACGAATATCCTTGAGTGTGAACCGGTCTTCTCAGTTAGGGGCCAAACTGTTCGCAAAGCGGGCCGAGCCGCCACCGATCGCGTAACGTTTTATTTACCCTTTTTTATATAGCTGAAAATCGCAGCTGTTGGCTCAGGCGGGTCAGATCTGGGTGTATCAGAATATGCTGATGCGTTGGTTTACTTGAGATACGTTGTTTTTCACTCCTGCGCAGCAAACGGCTCGCTGTAGACCGATCTTTTCAGGCAGTGTGCGAAGTACCCATCAGTATTCGGGGGGGGTCCCCATCTCCCTATTGTTACGCAATACTGATCTTGAGACCCCCTTCAAATTTTGCTTTTGAGGCTTTCATGGGGTCTCATGGGTTAATCGGGGGTGTCGGACATTTCGCACACTGTTTTCAGTGATTAGTTAAATTACGATGGGCTGCGTGCGACAATGGTTTGGGCGCTTAGACTGGTATATGGATGTCGCAAACAGGAAGCACTTCCAAAAAATTGAAGGAAAATGTAGCTTGCGATGTCTCCAAAGAAAGGTATGAATGGAGGGACAATGATAAAACGCTGCTGTAGGATTTAGGTGAATGACATGCAGTTATTGTTCATGTTATGCAGTGTTTAAGCATTTTTATGTATTTATTTTGGTTTTGCCAAAATTTAATTGAGCAACCTTTTTTAGTCTCAATCGGGTACATAATGTTGCTGCTTTCATGCAAACATTGCCGCAATCGCTTTGCTTACTATGGCCTTTGTGTTGGTGTGAAAGTTAAATCTTCACCTCTGAAGGACTTCGTCATCTGGTGCTATCAAGGAAGAGTAAGATTAGCTTCAGTATGAGGACAAACAAGAAGCTCCGAGGGGGACAGGCACGTCAGCACGAGCACGCGCCTTTGGTCACTTTTCCGAAATCTTGCAGCTCAAATCGTTTTGCATTAATGTTCATGTAATTGGCAGTGCCAACGGAAACAGCAGTTATTACTAAAAAGGTGACAGTCAAAAAAACATTCAACATAGACCTACACAATATAGGCCTATATCTACTTCAGTTTCGATCGAGTCATCACGACAGTTCTTACCCAAATATTCAGTTCCATAATATGAATACATGAGAGGAAATGGTTTCCTCTTCTTTCTTGCGTACTGCTTACCAGACTCGATAATAGCCTGGCAGATAGCTTTTATTTGTTCTGGACTTAGTATCTGTAAGAAAGTAATATACAAAAGAAAATTAAGGAAATTAAGGCATGTATAATCTGGCGAGATAATTGTCTGTCACAAATATCTCATAACAGATTTATCACATTTCCGCCATTCCTCTTAGAATAACTTTAATATTACTCGACAATCGTGTGTATTTGGTGTGGGACTTCAGCAATACCTTAAATTAGTATAGGAGAGCAACACGCACGCAGACAGAACGCGCTTCGATGGATGCGCGTTTGCCATGACCAGCTGCAAATAATGAAATATATGTCGTTTGGAGCAGTTGTCATGGGAACTGCTTGTCTTCGGACATCTTTTGCCTCCCTACATTCAAAGCTGCTAAAGTCAGTCAAAGGGGGAATCTCCCGTTCATTTCCAATGGAATAAATATATGTATTTGGGTCTTGGTTGGTTGCAAACTCTTTTTGGGAATACACGCAATGTTAATAACAGAATACATACACACCGGCGCATACAGCGACCAGCCGTCACGCGAATTACTTAAAGTAGCGCTTGCGCCCCCTGTCAGTAGTACTGCAACAACGTGATGTACGAGGGTTTGAAGGTAGATTGTGAAAGCAGCGTGCAATCTTTTAACCACACCCAAAAATGTCGTGTTTTAGGCATGGCTTGTAATCACCCGTCCTCTTTCGACGGCGTTGCCAGTCAGCATCTTACCTCTATCCCGAGCCTCTGTTTCAGCAATAGAGCGGCGCACAGGTATCCTGTTCTCCCCACGAACAGCTCGTCCGAGCCGCACTCCAGAAAACTGATGGGCGCACACACCTCCCATAGGTTTCGAAATTTTGTCAGGGGCTTGACGAAGTCCGAAAAGCCCATGGCTTTGTAGACCATCGTAGCCACGGCGTAAATCCCGGCACCGCCGAGCAGGAATGCAACACGCAAATTTTTGTCCTGCTCCCTATCCACATACTTCACCGACACGTCAATGATCTGTTTCGCGTTTTTCAGGTACGTGTCTCTTTGCTTAGAAAACAAAGGGCATTCTGAGACGTAGTACAGCATGTATGCTACTCCGGCTGGACCGTCATATAAACCGCCGTCACATTCACTTGAGTCAACTGGCACCTTCTTCATGATCTTCTCTATACTTGCGATGACAATAGGCACTATGGCTTCGTTACCCTGTCCCGAGAGCAAAGCTCCAGTATAATCGACATAGCGGTTCTCAAAGCAACGCTTGTTTTCCATCACTAATTAAAGTGAATTAACAGAGACAGCAAAGTCAGTGTAATTCTAATAGAAACCCAGTTTTGTTCGTCTTAGTGGCGTATTCAATGTAATCCAGTAAACGCCGGAATAAAGTTAGTAAAATCAAAACTTTAATTTCCCGACCACGGCTGACGATGTAAAGCGAAAGAGCGATTCATTTTTTTGTCAATCAATATATTACGACTGGTGCTTCGGAAGAGACCGGAAATGGTATCACATCGATAACAGTGATTTGTGGGATATGTATTCCCCACAACATTCAGTAAGAAAACCATAATAATCTACTGCTGTATAAAATACAGTCATTTATAGACATACGCCGTATGTTTATGCATATTTTGGCCTACATTTAGCAAATATTTCAAATTAGATCACTATTGAATTACATTTAATTATCGATCCTATTTAACACGTGACTTGTTCAGTGGTGAATACAACAGTGAATATTTTCATTAACTGATCATTAATTCACTCAGAAATTACACATGAGTCCACAATAAACAGGTGTTTAATTTGAAGAAATTAAAATGAGATCCAGCAGATGGCGACATATGCATAGAAGTGAATAACTGTTACTTGAAATAATTTCTGAATCAGTATCATTTTACTCGCGAAGGACAAGATTACAAGGACTGTGTGTTTCATGCAGGTGGTGGCATGAAGTATACAATTAAGCATACAATCAAGACAAAGGTGCAAGAACAAGAAGCGGAAGCAGAGACAAGAAATAAAGATGCGCAATGATAAATTAACGTGTATACATGAAAATAAAGGTGAGACAAGCAGATGTCGGGAAAAGTCAATGCGAGTAAAAGTTACAGTGGGTGATTAAATATGAAAAGATCCCGTAAGTGACACTGCATCTCATGGGTTCTTTTTCGGAGGTGTGGGGGGCTGCCTGAGGAAGACACTGTTCAGGTGTCTTATCCCTTAGCCTCACACAGCTTTCACCGAGAAGGGAAACACTGGAAGAAAGGAAGACCAGGGGACGAGGGGACAGGCGTTGTTTTCTCGATCCTGGTCCTCCTTTATGGCACAGACGAGTGCCTTCAGTGACAGGCTACGTGCTCTGAAGGTCAAGCAATCAAACACCGCATGCAGGTCTATCATTCCGGCTATCTTCAGGGCATACCAACCACATTCCCTTCTTTTATACATCTGTCTGTGTGTTTGGTTTAATTATCCGTTTATTTATTGATTGATCATTGCACAGTCACTTTGTGTTGCATGTTTGGCACTTTAATGGTCTGTAGATCCATTTCGCATTTGTCGTTACTAATTACTGTACTGTTTGTACATTGCATTTTTAGCACATAAGAATTTATTCCTTGTACACAGCAAGGCTTATTTTTTTTATTAAAATTGATCTAATATGTTTAAGTATTAGTGTTGTTTTTTGTCTTTGTCTTTCTATTTGCTGCCGAACGTCGGAATTTTCCTCCGGGGATTAATAAAGTGTCTGTCTGTCTGTCTGATCTTGATTGGGAAGTATGGACCTTCACGCGGGGGGAGCTGACGGTCATTAATCTCCGCATATCGCACAATTCGATCTATACAGGATGGAATAATTCATTCTATTACGGTTATGTGTAACTGTGGAACAAATCCGTTGGTCATGTACTATATAATGTCATATTTCAGGTTGCTACCCCACACAAGTTCAGAAAAAAGTAAATTAATTTCCACACCAAAATCATAACATAGAATCTAGGGATTTAATCGCCACAATGAAGCTTAACAACAATAGAGCGATGCTATTTTGCTATATTCACTTACTCGTGACGCAAGTCACGAGTAAGTGAATATATTAGTGCCGGACAGAATTGTCAGTAAAAATCACAAATTACATGTGAATTTGATGTGAACTCAAAATTAAATGCATCCTTATTGATTCTCAAACGTTTTAATTTATGATTCCGGTTGGTTACAATCCGCTTCATTTCAGAAAAAAATGCTACATATCACGGTTCAAGAATGGAAAGAATGAAAAAACTGTGAACAAGAATGAAGACGTCATATCAGACAACTGCAGCCCAATAACTTTTGCCTTTTTGTTCCTCTGGTGAGTCGGATGCTATCCATGGTCCTGAAAGAACTGCTACCAAGCAGAAATTAAAGACGTTCAAGATAAATTATAAACTCAGATTTATTCTAAACCCACACCTCAGACTAACAGTTGTTGCTGTCAGTCATTTTCCCTTACACTATTGGGTGGGACATCCATCACATGGCATTTCTACCGCTGATGCGTCATTGTACTGAGCGATAAAGTTAGTTTCATACATTTTGTTCATGGGCGCCCTTGAGTAATAGGCTATTACAGGGTTGTGATGTGATGTGCTTGTAAACAAATGAGGGCCCGTAACGATATTTGAGGTGGTACACTGTGTATACACAGTATAATTGTCGGTGTAATCTAGAATTGTCTGTCTGAATAAAGATTAATAATATGGTTTCTAAAATTCTGTTGGGCATATAGTTATTATGATATTGATCATGACCGTCACCGCCTGAACTGTCATTAGACCTAAGCTCCTTGGGTCTTCGTTATCAAAATCAGTTCCAATTTAAAGCCGGATGCCCTTGACAACATTGATGTATTATAGCAGAGTCACCATCACCGTCCACTTTAGGAAGAGTGTGATCGCAGAAAGACTTAGTCTGACGGCGTTAGACTGGTGAGGGGGCTCTTCTGCGTCACTGGGTCGAATTACAGATTCAATCCGCCAGCAGCCTGTTGGAGGTGGGGGGGAGTGAGACAGACGGAGGTAAGAGAGAGATAGGCGAGAGCGCGTGAGATGGATACCCCGATTACTGTCCGCAAAAGCATTTCCGGCTGATAAATCAAATGTCAATTCTTTCAGCTCCAGGCTAATCTCAGACTGTGCTGTGCTTTACCATGTGGAGCTAATTTAAAAAGTCATTTTAGGTATGAAGTGCATTGATCTAGTTTGCATTTTAATTATTTTAGACGTTGTAACCAGGAGCAGGTTTAAATGATTATGAAAGTAGTATATTTTGTGCAAAGCATTCAGGCGCGATTTAAAATTGGCAGGCATCCATAAAAACGCACTTCAACAAGTCAAGTAAATTGGATTAACAGACGGTTTAGGCAAAGGTTATTACCTCTTTCATTCTGTACATGTACGCTACATTTCTTGCAAAGCATCAAGTTGGAAAGCAGCGTTCTGTGTTATACAGAAGACAGCTCCGCTGGAAATGTTTGCCTGCTGAGTAAAGATCTTACAAATAACAGGGTATAGGCTGAAGATTGAATGGTTTCTATCAATGTCTCCTGGAGTTTGCTCCTGTGGCATAATTGGACAGATGACCAGAAACTGTGATGTTGGTGTTATACTGAAAAGAAAAATGCAGGTCCTCAAGAAGTAATGTGCTTCAAATAAAGATTAACTGTCAGGACAGGTGCCCGTCTGACCCTGTCCCATGTGTCTTGTCCTCATTTGGCCAGCAGGTGTCACTGGCCATCCCGTTCCCCCCTCTGTCTTGTAGCCCCTCAGTCCCTGGGGTGTTTCTCTCCTCCCTGGCACTGTCGACCAATAAAACCAAAATATTAAATAAAAGGTGAGTCTCGGGCCAGCCTCAGACTCGTGATGGAGGGGATGTTTGAGTCTGAGCCGCGCGCTCAGCCCATTGAGCCACACAGAGGCCTGGGGAGCAGGGAAACACACTCGGGCAACACCAAACAGGATGGCCAGCGACACCTGCGGGCCAAACGGGGAAAAGACACATGGGACCGGGCCGGACAACCACCAACCCTGACTGGACCAAAGTCGCTGAGGAATGTTTCAACTTCGTTGAATCTATGCATTGAAAAATTAAGGTGGTTTTGAAGGCAAAACGGGGTCCAGCTTGGTATTAGCAAGGTGAACCTAATATTGTGGCCAGTGAGTATTATTCAGTGATTCCATACTGACACTGTAATGAACTCGTTCTTGAATTGCTAGAACAGCTAGATGGTTTGACAGTGCATCTGAGCTTACTTATGGCACCATATAGGTCTTTTTTTTTCATTGATCGCAAGTCAGATCAGTACATTTTTCTGCTCCTTACATGAGACCATGAGCCCCACAGCCCCGTACTGATGAGTGACAGGTGATGTGTGAGCCAATGCCTCGTATCCAAGTGTTAAATCACTGTATTGTACCAATTTGGGGTTTTTAGGAGCGAGGGGGTAGGAGGCGGTAGTGTTCCTCCTAGAAATTGTGCCTGTGATTTTCTCGTAGCCAGTAATGACAGATTTGTGTTTGTGAGCTTTTGTTCTGTCTATTGATTGTGTTTCATATCCCCACACATTTCCAGCCAGTCATCGTGCACGCATTCTGTTAGGAAATACAATACGTATGGCATTTTATCTTCCCATGGACGTATTAGGAATAATTGTGGTTAAATTACTGGGAAAAAAACAACCTTTTCAATACCACTATCAAAGTACGACTACAGCTATTCTTTTCAAACAATGGCAACATTAACCAGGATGACATTAAGGAAAAATGATCAAGCTGTCATAGTAACATCTGTACTTCATTATTTCAATTTCTTTGTCAATTGATAAAGACAATAAATATTCTTTTCTTATCTTATTTAATGAGACTTATAGTGAAATATGAGTTTGTATTAATTACTGTTTTCATTTATATACAAGCATACCTTTAAACCTCCAACAATTATTAGAACTAATAATGGACGTTTTAATCATGTGGTTATAGTGTTTTGGTAATGTATTTTTAATGAGATTTATTTGACATTTTTAGACCAAATTCAGCGCATTGCTGCACGTATTTCATTTTCATCTGATTTGTTCAGTGAAAACTCTCATTCATTCATTCCCGCCTGTGCACGTGCCCTACTCCTTCAATATCCCGCTGTAAAATGCGTTTGAGTGTCACGTTCCTTACATAATTGCCAATTAATATGGATGTGTAGCTAACGGTGGATTTCGGAATTAAGTGTCTGTAGCAGAGGCGGATGTGAATTTTTTTTTCGCTTCATGAATCTTGTTAGTGCTCAATGAGAAATCTGTCGTAAATACAGAATGGTGCGATATCCCAAGTATATGTAATAATATAAAAATATCGATCTTCCTAGTAACTCGTCCTGAACTTCAAATTCATTTGATTTTTAAACTCAAAACTGCAAACAGACTCAAATCATGTATTTCTGTAAATAT